GTTCAACAGAAGACACGCTCTTATAGGTTGTTCAAAAAGTCAATAAAAGCTACTTTCTCTGTGTGGCCCTGTCCGGAGTGTACCCCGCCTCTTGCTCAGTGACAGTTGGGACAGGCTCCAGCCCCCTAAGACCCTACAATGAGTAAATTATATAGATAGTAAATAGATGGAGGAATTACTCTGATGTGCTTCACATATGTGATCAACAAAATATTGCAACTTATATCAATTTATTTTCTAGGTTTGGACTGTATTCACAATCGAGGAATAACACATTTAGTTAATCCTCCCCAAATTAGACAATGTTTGACTAACCTAACATTTTTTTATTTTAATGATTTTTACCAATGCAAAATGAGTTAAATCCCCTTAAATCAGACTGTAATTATTAGATCAATAGATGATATTGGTATAATTCTATAGTTTAGCTGAAACCACATCACTTGTAAATGCTTAAAGAAGACAATAGAATTAGCATGAAAATAGCTTTTTCCCATTTTCAGTTATTCAAAATATATTGACCTCTTCCTGTGCAGGTAGAGGTCTCACGGTATCTTTACTAACATGGCAGGGACTACTGTTTTAGGGTTAAAGTCTAAACCCTTACTAAACCCTTGCTCACCTGCCCCTCCCTTAATGCTTCTGACCTCCATCCCCAACTCTTCTGCCTGATTACTCTTAATGTAATTTTAATTAAAAACTGTGGTGTCAAAGGGTTTAGCCTGCCTGAGAAGCGGGTGCAGATTGTGGCACAGTGGCAGACCCCTTCACTTGCTTGAAGGGAAATGCATCCTGACATTTCTTTGGGGGTGCCAACAAGACCAGAGCCACAGGGACAACAAAAAAACCACAAGCCATTTGGAAAACATAATATTCTTCATTAAGGAAGAGTGAAGGAGTCATTCAGTAAAGCTTTTATATATACATTTTCCTAAAATTTGAACTCTTACAATGGCATAGAAACCATATGGTCCCAATCTTGTAAACAGTTGTTGTATTGGTAATAATTTATGTGTCAAACTGCTGTCCAAAGCTTTTACCTATTTAGTCAGGTAACTATTTTGAAATGTTGAGTTCACCAATCAGAACCAACCAATGCTCAGTATCAGGGATAGGCGAAGACATTGAGCTAGTCACTCTAATATCCCAACACACTTAGCCCTTATCGACGATAAGCACCACAGCCAAATATCACTGGGGTGACTTGTGGAAGGTGCCCCACAGCAAGACTCAACAGCAGAGGTCTGCCTGTAAGGTTTGTAATCCCCTCACCCCAGCCTTTGGATTATCTGTTCTCCGTCGACCCTGAAGAGACTTCCCGTAGCTTGGCCTTAAACACTCTAAAATCTCATCTCCTCACCCCATCTGCCGGCTGAGCGATGTCTTGGAAGACACCAATAGAATCGAGAGGGCATGCAGAAAATAAAGGCATAGCTTCTCCTTTCTCTTGGGAGTTATTGCTGCAGTCAAGAGTAGACTCAAAGAAAACCCATTATCTAAAACTGCTTCATTGATAAATGAGCATGAGCCACGAGCAATTCGTTTTTCTGGAGGTTCATAAATGGAAAGGGTATCAGTGTCAGTGACCCTTTAACATTCTCTAATAGGTGCCTTGTTTTGTGGTTGACAGTTGGAAGAGCTGGTGGTTGGCCCTGAGCATTGAGGCATGTAGTAAGAGGGTTTAACTTTGCTAACCTCCTTCTGCCAGGTTCATGGGGCCCTGCTGCTTGGGTAATATTGGATCAGTGTCGGGAGCCAAGGCCCCTGCCATATCAGCCATAACACTACCTGGGGTTGTTAGCTCTTCCCTGAATAGAGCCAACTGGAAGTGGTAAAGGGGTTGCTTCTGTTTTCTCCACAGTGCTCCTGAAATCCAACAAACCTGGTGTGCTTGATCATTCTGATTTTGAGAAAGTACAATTTTATGAAATGGGAAAACTACGACATTTTTGGACATTAAATCAAGAGATAGATGAGAACAATACCTGGCTGTTTCACGGTTACACCAAAACTGTTACGATGCCCAGATTTAGTTTTGGATTTAGATAAAAAATACTAGAATGACAGCATTTTCAGAGCTCCCAAAGAAATTCTTAAGTCTACGATTTTCTTTCTCTTAATCTGACATACATGTTTTCCTTTTAGTTGAACTTTGGTTCCACAGTGGCAGCTCAGTGGTGTGGTGGGTAACACTGTTGCATCACCGCAACAGGGTTTGATTCCATGACAATTTGAGTTTGCATGGAATTCCTCAGCATGTTCACTCTGTGTGTGTATGTGCTTTCTCCGAGTATTCCATCTTCTCCTCCTGTCAAAATAACGCGTGTGAGGTTAACTGGTGATTCTAAATTGCCCATGGGAGAGTTGCTGTGTGGCCCGTGAGATGGACTCACAACCTGTTCTGGAAGCACCCACCTCTTGCCCAATGAGAGCTGGGATAGGCCTTAGCCCTATATAGCAAATGATGGATGGATAATAGATTTTCAAAATTTTTACATGGGTGTTGTATAGTCTGCATGGTTGTGTTGCAATGTGGACTTAGAATCAAGAAAATTTCACAGTTGATATTTATAAACAGCTTTTCACCTTTTTTGCTTTACTATCAGTCACAGGATGCTGAGGTTTAGACATAGATGAAGGTCTGGCTAGGCTTAGAGATGGAGGAAAAACAGAAAGCATGTGGACAGTAATGTTATTGCAATTCAATGCAGCCTGCTAGAATTACATTAAATCAAAACAAAATGTATTTGTGACGTGCCAAATGAGAACAAATGTCAACTTTGGGAACTTAAAAAATAAACTTGAGTGTCCAGTTGGAGTCCAAGTCATTGTAACACAGTCAGAAACCAATACAGAACAATTAAGATACACAAATTCCAAAAACCTTTAATTTATACAAAAATAAAAAAAAATGAATAAATAAAATGTAATAGTTTTTTTGGCCTGTTTTGAATGTTTTCATTTCAATCTCTCAAAAGGTAACCAAAAAAAGAGAAATCAACAAAAACTAAGATGAATTAGCTAGATAAATTATTTTTCAAGTTTTCAAAATTGTCATTTAGCATTATCATCTTCACTGCTTTTATGAATAGTAATAATGCAATGGAAATTCAACTGAATTGTCAGTCGTGTAGATAAATACCATGTGCATCTGACCAATTAAACAAATATTTTAACTTTGTTGATGGCAGTTGGTTGAATGGATTATTAAATTGATATCTGTTTGGACTTAAGATGAACTACAACAAAGTAACAAAAAAATCAACAAATGTTTTTTTTTTTTTTTTCTAAAATCTCTGCCAAAATGTCTCTTAAATCATCAAAACATTGATTTTGATCTAAATTAGATTAATTATTTTGAAGCAAATGTCTTCCTCAATGATGTTTACCTCAGATCTTTGTCTTCAATCTTTTTTACAGTGATCTACAAGACCTACGAGTTGTCAATATAATGTATTTATGGGTAGCATTTCTACAGGTTGAAACGTTTAAAAGGAAAAAAGATAATGCATTTAAGGCACATTAACATATCGTTTTCATCAGATTTGGTTCAATGGTTGTGCAATCATTCGTGTGAGCTCCATTTGGCCCTGTTGAGAGAATTTGGCAAGTTCCACACTTAGGAGAGATCTGTTGATATTAAAATCTGCAGATGTCCACCTGGTGTCAGAGGGCATGGCAACAGAGGAGTGCACTGTCTGGACTTGGAGAGGCGCACATCCATCCATCTGTCTGTGTGTCTGAGTCTTGGTTAAATTCTAAAAAAACTGCATGCAGTACGTACAGGTGATGGTTTGTGGTGTCTGCAATAAGGGTTCGTGTTTACTTCTAGTAAAAATCATGGTTTGCTTGTTTTTCCTTTTGATTTGCAGATGAAAGGACTGTGTTCCTCCGCAGCAGAGACCAGCAGCCACAGTGCTGTAAGGTCAGAGAGCTGTGAGAACTTCGTGCAGACGAGCAACAGATTCACGACATCCCCTCAGGTGGTGGAGTGTGTGGGTGAGTGTGAGTTGTCAAGGCGCAGTAGGTGTGCATGTGTGTGGTTTGAAAATGGAGGTGCGTAGTTTACACCTGTGTCACACTGCTGACTATAGTTTGCATTGGGGTATGTGTAAAGGTTGCCTTTTGCTTCAAGGTGTATGTTTGTCTGTATCTGACGGCGTACCTGTCTCTTTGATTGAACAGGTGGGGCCTGTAAAGGATCTGCCGAACAGCGAACTGTGGTCAGACTTGCTGTGCTCAAGTCTACAGTCTACGGTTTAGGCTGGATGTTTTTTTTTGTGCTGCTGTTTCATTTATTTTCCCAAATGAAACAGCAGCACAAATGAATGATTTGTTTCACATGCACATCCTACTGTATGAGAAAAATATTTGAAAATAATTAGTTTGCTTAATGTTGTCGGTAAAAAAAAAAGATTGAGCTATTTCTACTGTTATAATTGATTGACTATTAACACATAAGCTTGCCACAGAGGGAGCAGTAAATATTATCAGTAGCTCTTCTCTTAATGTCATGAAGATATAACTTAATAGCTGAGTGGCCTGACCTGAATTTTTTAACAGGTTTTCTGTTAGTAGGTTAAATGTTTGTCTAATGTTTATTTTTGTCGTATCAGACACAGTTGTTTCATCTATAGTCATTATATTCAGCCAGTGGAATGCAGGCTGACAATTGGACATTAACTCAATGTGCAGTGCAAATTTATGTTTGAAAAGCAGCTTTCAAAAAGGTATTATTAATGGCTTGTCAGTATAATTTAATTTTAAATTGCCTAGAGAGGACATTTGTTGTGATTTTGATCAATATAGATAAAAGTTTTTTTTTTAAACTGTACCAAAAAACAAACAAACACTATGTTTAAATGTTTTTATTGGTTGTGGTTGCATTTCTTCTGTTGTGTTGAATTAAAATGGTCATATGGTTATATGCAAACCGTAAATCCTTTAATCTAAACGGGGGATTCATGATTTAAAATTCGTAATTAATAATCTGACAAGCTTTGTGGTCAGTCTTGCTTATTCAATGCTCTGATATGTAAAATTCTATGTTCATGATTATGAACTCAAATTTGTATGCAAGGCAGCTCTCACTTGTCAGAGGCAACAAACATTTACAAGGGAAAGAAAGACCGAAATTCATAGAAAGGCTTATAATGCTGCTCCTAAAAGAAGGTATGTACAATCAAGGACGCTAATTTTCTGCAGCAGTGTTTATATTTAAATGTTAATTGACGAGACAAAACTACAGCAGGATACGACGCGTCTGGCTGTGATTGTGGGACTTGTAGTTTTTTAGACACTCTTGCGTCAGCGGAAGTGTTTTGAACGTTCGTGAGCTAGGTCACATTGGCTCTGTTTTGTAATGTTATGAGAAGCTTCACTGCAATGGAGGCAACAAACACAGGTAACAAATATTTCTACTGTTTCTAATGTGTTACCTGTAGACTATTTAGGCCTCTTTTTGCCAGGTTTCCACGCTATATTGCCATTTATGGTTACTATTGTGTTGACGCGTGTTTATGCATTGATATTAGCTACCATTAGCTTGGTGGGTAAATGATAAATATTTTATCACACAAACACGTCTCTCTTTGTCCAATACGTTGCATTACACTTTAGGGATTTAATTTACTATCATATTTTTTTTCTTTGCTGTATTCCGTTTGGACGTGTGCTCATATTCAATAAAAACTAAGTGTAGCGAAGGTTTGTGCCGTTCAGAGCTGTCAGAGAACAGAAAAAGAAACACTATTAATATTTTTCCCCCCTTTTTCATCTGTTATCAGATGAGATCCAATTGAGGCATGTGGAGAAAGACGTTCTGATCCCTAAGTTGATGAGGGAGAAAGCCAGGGAACGCTGCGTGGAAAAGGTTGAAGGTGGGTATTGTGATAAACGAGAGGCTGATCTTATCTTTCTACGGGGAACTAGACTAGACTAGACTTATTTTTCAAATGATCCTGATGATGTGAGGGATAATTGGCAGAAGCTATGAGTAAAGCCGGAAAAGTGAGGAAAAAAACAATTCCATTGGAGGTAAGTGGAAAGTGAAAAAAAAGTTGTGGGGCTGGGAACATTGCCATTCTAACCTCATTTTGCCCATAATTTTCTGAACACTTTTACCTTCAGTGTCACTTTCCATTAATTCAGATTCAAGCCCAATAATCACACTAAGATGCCCAATCCCAGTGCTCCCTACTTTGTGTTCCCTGATATGACATTGTGTGAGGTTTTTACTCCTCACAGGTTGCCATAACAAGTTTACTGCCAAATAAAATCTGTTGGGAAGAAATGCATCAAACCCAGCTGGTATAGGCATAATGTGCAACTGAGTGTTTGTAAAAAAGGTGGAAATTAAAGTTTTCTCGACAGATCTTTTCTACATATCTGGACCAACAGGTCTGGGTCCTGATGTAAGATGTTAATTTTCTTCTCACATTTCATAGTGAAATTTATTTGGATGTCTTGCATCACCATTTACTGTCAGTCAGCCAGCCACACGAGCTTAATGAACTCTTCCAGGGAAGACGTTTTGTCACATTATTGCAGAAAAAATAGTTTATTTGAACTGAGCCCTCATTAATCTGTTGTTGATGTCCTTTTTTATGCAGACCATCACTATATTCTGTTTTTGTGCAGCACATTTTTAATGAGATTATTAAAAAAACTAAATGGATCAACAGCAGAAGTTTTGTTGCTTAATGAAAGGAAAATGGTTTAAACATGTAAAGTCTGATCTAACAAAAAGTTTGAAAACTGTTTTTTTTTTTTTGTCTAATGACTTTAGAAATATTCTTTTAATATTCATCATCTATTGCCCTGTCAAATTACCTGCACTTTCCTGTTTCTCTGTTTTGTTTGTTGTCCCCTACACAAATATCTTAGATATTTTATTTTTCCAAACGTGACAGCAAATGGGAAAATTATATTTTAACTGCAAGGAGTCCAGAAACCTCTCCTGTCATTTCACACGGCTGGGGGCCACTGGTCCTTTTCCTAAATCAGTGCAATGCGGCGCTTTTCAAAAAATATTTCTCCTCTGTTAGTCTCCTCCTTCCTGTTCTCTGATCCTTTTGAACTTCCTGTGGGCACCGGTGTTGTGCGAGTTCTGGGTGAGGCCAAGTGTCACGACAGCAGTTACCACTTTATCTCCATGGAAACAGCGTTAGCCGTGCTGGCGTTTTCCTGTCTCGCAGCAGCGGCGCAGCAGCCAGATGGTTGCTGGAGTTGTGTGGTTTGTATGAATCTGATGGCAACCTGTGTGAGCCCGTGTGTGTGATTCTCATAGGGACACGGCGCACATAGGCCGCGGTGATGGGACAGATAGTGGCTGTGTGCGGTGGAAACCCCCCTCACATTACAAGCTTCTTGTCCCACTCATTTTCACACCTCCATCCTCTACCTTCTCAGGCAGTGTGTTTGTGTCTGTACAGGGCCACTGTGTGTGTGTGTGTGTGTGTGTATGTATGTGTGTGTGTGTGTGAGTTTTATGAAGAAAAGAGAAAACACTTTTTACAAGTATGTTTTCCTGTGCTATCTGTCTCTGCATACTAGCCTCCGTGCACCTGCCAGCCTGACGGCATCATCTCATAGTTTTACTTGACACAATCTTTCCCACTGCCCTGATGATTCATGTCAGCTCTCGGCGGGGCCTCTCAGTCTGTTGGGGTTAGGGTCGTAGTGAGGAACATGCATACCCTCTAACAGACAACATTTTTCATAATTAACACTGTTTTAATCCTCCAGGTCTTTCATGAGGCCACCATCAGAACTATGGAAGGAAAACGGAAAGAAAACCTTCATTCCTTAATTCTAGTTAATGCTGGTTATTTAGAAACTGATTATCCCTGCTGTTGTGTTTCTGTGTGAAGATGTGAAGCATAAAGGGAAGAATTTACATGCGTTAACACTCTGCGTCCTGCCCAAGTCGCAGTCAGCTCTCGGTGGACAATCCGCTTTGTCACAATCCACTTGTCTATTTTGAAAGTGGCAAAGCAAAGGTTCTCTGTCACAGCCTCTCCTGACATCAAACTGATCTCATGCCTGATCTCATGCCTCTGCCTCTGGAGCGGCCGCTGTGCGTTGAGAGCTAACCCTCTGCAGGCTCTGTGAGTGTCGGGGGACCAGGATGAGGCGCTTGTTGATTAGATTAGTCGCACTCTTCTGCTTCTCTAAATTGGTTTTACAGTTACTCCTCTCCGTATCTGCATCCTGATGAAAGCCACTGTGTGCTAACCATACTGATGCCACTGATAAAGGTAATTATGCCAGTTGTGTGAGAAGGCACATGTGACGGCAGTGGTTTTAATTAAAGCCTGGAGAAAGAGCCCGCTAACAAGGTGAAGACTGGGGTTTTCCTCACCTCGTTTGCACTGAGGACCCTTAACATCGCACATGCCTCTGAGACACGGTGTTGCTGACGCATCCCCACACAAGTGCTGGGCGTCATTTCGTTTCAGTGACCGCATTTGAGTGTTCATCTTAGTTTTCTAAGTTGTGCCCCGTCTTGACGACTCCAGTGAAACACCTCTTATCAAGTAGCACAACCCAAGTCATAGAACATAGGACTGGGTGAATGTTTTCAGTGGGTTTTTTTGCCTCAATTAATCTTTTCTCCCCTTCCTACTCTGTCCAGCTTTCAACTCCTGCTGTAAGGAATCTGGATTCTTCATGGTGTTTAAGTGTCGCGAGGAGAATTCAGCCCTTAAGGAATGTCTGACGGTGCAGTAAGTATTTTGCCGTCCTTTTTCGCAGCATAACACTCGCGCCGTGAGGTGTTATGACACCACGAGCTGCTGAGCCACTGGCTTCTATTTGTCACAAAACTGTTGCCTGTCCAATCTCTGTCACCTGTAGTCCATACCGTTTCTATTCTCTTTTCACCAGCTACCAGGATCCCGCCTTTTTCGAGGAGTGTAAGAAACAGTACATTCAAGAGAAAATGGAGTTTGAGCGGACAGGGGTTCCATCCAAGAACAGGAAAACGAAACTTCCAGTCAGCATGTGATAAGTGATCTGAACACCTAATGGCTTTTCGGGTGTGCAGACCTGGACTCCAGCTCACCCCCCACACATGTCACCATATGAAAAGTTACTACTACAAGCTTATGTGTTTTATTTAAATCAGTGGAACAACCATCTATGTTTAGATGCATGAGAGTGATTAATAAGCAGAAGATGGCCTTCTTAATGTTAATGTTCAGTCAAGGAGCGTATTGACACGTCATGCTATTTTAGAATGGTCGTTTTTCAGCTTCGTAGTCATAGCAGGACTGTGTCATCAGCATCCTCAGAGGAAGGTGCCACTTTCTTTACTGCTGATTTAAGTTGAGGGACGACTTTCCCAGGTGGTTGTTGTGCCTGCTCTAACAGAAAAAGCTATAATGAGGGGTTGGCTCTTTTTTTTTTTGCTGAAGAAGTCCAGCCAAGCAATACGTGTTTCGATCAACTATTAACTTGAGAAAGATTTAAAAACATTGGAGGCATCTGGTTTAGCCCAGAAAGAAACTCTGTGTTGTTGTGTGACTTTGTAAATAAGGCATATTCAAAATCGGAGAATAAAAACCACAAAATTGTGATCATCGATGTTTTATTCAAGATAAATGTTTAATACCTCACTGGTCAGATGGTGAAGTGCTTTATAGAGATGGTTGTATTTCCACATCGAGTTTAAGCTGCATGCAGCGTGATTAAACTGAATTCTTTTACCATTCAGTGCAGACAGAAATTCAAAAAACTGTAACGCATCTACCGATTTGCATTTAATTTGCCTTTGTCGATATTACACAGCTTTTGTTTAACTGTTCATTTTCCCAAATATTATAATTGGCAGAAAGCTTGATTTTTTTTTTTTTTTTAACTACTGTAAACATAAAACTAATTTATAGAATCAAGTTGGATATCTGGAGGGATGCCAAAAGCATTTTCTTGTAGTGTGCTTTCTTTTAGGGTTCAGACTTCAGAACATCGATGTGTAAAATGGAATAAGAACTGAGTTGAGAATAAGAACAGATACCACAGATCAGATGTGACGACTGAAAAATGCCATCGCATTTTCAATTTGATGCAAGTACCATGCGCGTATAGTTTCGATGGGCAACCAGAGATGAAAACTGAGGGAAAGTCCTAGTAACACGATGAGGTATAAAGTCCCAACGCATCCTGAGCCATTCTCAGAGAAGACTTCTTCGGAGAATCCATCTATCAGCTACTGGGGGATTACCAGCACCGCACCAGTACTGCTCAGGTAAACTAAGAATATTCCTCATACACCAGAGAAAGTCATGGACTTCCACAGGGTCCTGAGCTGGGGTCGATTCTTTTTTTAAAAACTTACACATGTAGCGTAAAGCACTTTGGGGGGTCTGTCTGACTGGAAAATAGGACAATTTATTTATGGAGTTATTCAAGATAACACTTCTTTGGCTTCTACTACTACAGTGTGGCTGTGTAGCTGTTTTTGACAAGGATCTGTACTTGCACTCACATATTATCCAGTTCTGGGACCGCCATATTTCACTTTCCTAATAATGCCATAATTAGGAATATCCCTGTTAAAGACTGTCAGTTCTTAATTATCATGGTGAGAGAGATATAGAAGTATCTAATGAGAGAGAAAGTAAGCATGTCTATAGACATGACTTGAACTGGAAGTTCAGCTGTATGAGTTTGTTAACTATTGCTTTGTAACAGCCTGGAGGTGAGCAGGAGAGAGCTGAGATAGACACAGAACCCACATGTCTAACATGTCAATCATTTCTTTAATCATATTTACAAAGTCTGAAGTGCAGTAAGTCTAAAATATAATCCAGATCTACTGTACATTGCATTTTGGTTTGCAAATTGTTTACAGAAGTATGAAACTACTGCTGTAAATGAAGATTTCATTAAAGTAAAGAACAAAAAGGACCATGGTTATGAGACAGATTGAAGAAAATGGGAAAGAACAGGTGTTTCCAGCAGCCAATGGCCTTTGTGCTTTGTGCACCTATTAGTCAACTCACAGCTCCCATTCGTTAAAGTTGAAAAATTATTGTCTTGCCACACTAGCAGTTGGGGTCCTACATCAAAGATTTTGGTGTGACAGGACAAAAAAAATAACCCAAAAAACAAATATTGGAGTGCAAAACCACATTTGGCAAAGAACCGGAACTGAATCCCACCATATACATTTATACATATATGCACATTCTATTAAAATCATCCCACATATACGTTTATACACCCTTCATTTTAGACTCCTAAAAACAGAAATCAATGCAAAATTTGCCTGTTCAGTAAACAGCAACATTTACATCAGCACAACTTAGGTATACGTTCTACATTTCAAAATATCCACAAGCCTCACCCTAACTTTGTCAGGTTTGAAAAAAAATTCACAGGAGTGCAATGGCTCTTTTTCATGTGTCCTGCGCGAATTTAGAAAGCCAAGAAAAATTGTGAACACACAGAGCCCAGAAAATAAAGTGACAAAAAATAGAAAATATTCTGCAATATGTCTGAGAGAACTGAATTGGTAAGAACAAGCCGGTTTAAGGAGGATTGCTTTAGTCGCAGAATTTACAGGAAGTCAAACGCATCTAAACTTTGTCTGGAAGTGATACAATCAGCATCAGTTATTATTTCTCCCACAATCAGCAATCTCCATAAAAATCCAAATACCTAAACTCAAAAGAGATGGAAGATTTGATACTTTGATATTCATCCACAAGGTTCTAAATACAAACTAACAAGTCTGTCACTTTCAGATTCTGTAGCAGTTTCAATCTGGAATAGAAATCTACACTTCTCTGCGGTTCTGTCTTTATCACAGTACAGGGACAGATCTAGTCCTTATCTCCGGAGCACTAGCATGAGATGCACAGGTGTCTACTTACCTTGTTATTCTTTACACTGATCCAATGTAAAAAGACTTGCATTGAGGAGGAACAAGTATACAAAGCCTACTACCAAGCTGTGGCTTTAGTGATCAGTGGCCACTATATGGAGAAAGAGGCCCCTTGAGCCCTGTTAGGAATATTATGATGAGATGCAGATAAAGGCCGGCTAAAGATGCCCACACATAGATCTGCATACACAGGCACACTGTTTGATATACAGACACACAGAGAAATTAAACTGCTGGTATGCATGCTTGCACAAACAAGGACACAAACATGGGAGAGATGACTTCTTTTTTTTTTTTTTTTTGGTCGAGTCTCTCGTCAGCCTTTACACTGCAATGCTAGATATGTTCACCGATGCGGTGTGCAGAACACGCAAATTAAGTCGACAGTCTGAACAGAAAAAAGGCCTCTTCTGGCCGCGGTTACTTCCCACAAGACGTTAGGTCCACTCTGGTCCACCACTAATCAGTGGTTCAATCATCTTAAGGCAGGTTAGGTGGTAGCAATGTGGCAGAGTTGTAAGGGTCATCTGTGTTTCCCATTCGTTTCTTTTCAATCCAAACATCAATCATCAATTCTCCCTTTGGACTTTACCTTAATAGGGTTTGACCCACTCTGCATTGGGAGGGCTCCTGGGACCACAGTTTCCTATCGAGGACGAGGAGTTGGATGCAGCCGAGTGTCCCTCCCAGAACATGGCGTCGCTGGGCTTGGGGGGGCTGGGGAAGGAGCGTGAACTGTCGTCCAGAGAGGCCTGGTTCAGGGGCGGGGGGGGCAGCACCACCGAGCAGGTGTCACTGCCCAGCAGCACCTCGCCCGACCAGCGCCCGCTGTACCAGCAGTCCTCCCTCAGACTGTCGGCCAGCGGGGCGCCCGACTGGCCGCTGACCGGGGGGCAGGGGCGGCCGGAGCAGGAGGGCACGGGGGGGGCACTGGGGGGGCCAGGCGCTGATGCCCGAGGAGCTGCCAGGTTGTTGTTCTTTTCCACGTCGTCCAGACACTGGACTGGAACCGTGGAGCCGGCTGGTGATGCACAGAGGGGTTAAAAGAGAGGGCAGGAGGTAAGACCACACAGCAGCTGCAAACAAAAGCACACACTGTCCACCAGAAGCACTTCCCACTTTGGCCACTCTTTCTTTTACTTTGGTATTCGAGCGACACACTTCATTACAATGACATGGAGACGTCACTAAAGCATGTTCACCATAAAGCAACCCCTCTAATCTGCATTTACAGTTTTAAATACATTTGTTTTATACAAACATTGATGCAAACTAATGGATGTTAACTTTCAGAGAAATGCATCCTCCCTTTGAGGTTGTAAGTATGTGAAATGCCATTAGTATTTGGCACTATGCTCCAAACTCGCAGAGATACAGCCCCAAATTAACACATGACATATTACATTGTGTGAAATGCCATGTTTTCATCTCAGCTGTATGACACCCGTATTCAACTTTGGTTCTCAAACAAGACAAAAAAAAGAGGCTAAAACCCTCAGCGAGCTAAAAGCTGACAGCGTGCAGAAGGCTACATGCTATGTGACATCATCCTCTGCATGTGAAAAACCAAAGTAATAATTTGGTTTTCTATGAAGCTCAATCTCGACAAACCCCTCTGCATAAACAAAGCCACCCTTGTTTTTCTTATTTTATTCCCCACAGAAAGTATATGCATACAAAAATCTGATGTCCTAATCTCACACACACGTCATTGCTTTGCCATTAAATCACCACCCTGGGGCGAATATCAAAGTTTAAATGAGTCTCTGCTTCCCTCCACCAACTGTTTTCTTATTTAACCATACCTCTCTTCATCCACACATCATCTATCCATCCATCCATCCCCGCTATGCTTCCATGAGAAGGTCTCCTGAGTCTAGGATTTGAATAAAAGTGATTCCAAAGGAGGAATATTAGAAGACTGCAGATACACAGAATGACTGAATAAATACATTGCACACTCTCCTCCCCCTCTTTCCTTTCCTTTGCCACTCCAGATTTCCCCATTTCACTCCATCTGCCTCATCTGAGCCACAGGATTACTCTCTTATTCATTGGAATAAATAGGCCAAGATTTGTTTTCTTGCTGTATTTTCTATCTCATTTTCACCTCGTGGCCTCCTGCTCTGACACTCAACATCTGAGCTAATCAGAGTGCATCGTCGGGGAAAGGCAGGGAATGAAGGGACGAATCAATTCACGATGCCCTTTAGATGTTTGAGACGTTTTTATATTCACAGTCTTATCACACTTTAATACAAAACTGCAACAAAGAGCAGCGGGGGGATCTTTATAGTAAGTACACCTAATACCCTTAACTGGGCCCAGGGAGTCGTTTCATTAGTTTCTGTTTGGAGAGGCTCGGTCTGATGTCAAGCCGTTACACTTCTAATGCCTGAAATGTGACGTTAGCTGACCGTAGAGGGAAAAAAAACAACATTTTAAATGTTGGACCACTTAAAAAGGTTCATATGATTCGCCTCTTTTCTGTTTCATTGTTCTTTATGGTTGTTGAGCGTTTGGAGTGTTTGGCGTTCAGGTTTGTGTACGTGGGGATGGGAGACTTGTGTGACGGAGTCATTTTGGGGCATACGTTGCTCAGTCAGCGGTATGGAAAAAACAGGTGAAGAACACATTGGAACTCAGTTAGATATACCGGCTGAATATAGAGAAGCAGACAGCCAGACTGAAGGTGGCGGAGGGTTGTTGAAAGTGAAATTGGAAGGTATTCCTATTTTGAAAACAGTAGTAGAAAAATAAAGAAAATGACAACAGAAAAAAATATTATTTTTTTTAAAAGTATCATTAAAAAAAATTACTTCCTCTCTGTTTGAACATGTAGCGCATTTAGATTATAACAGAAACCTCCAACAGAGCGGGTGGTGTGAGAAGGCAACATGGCTTATATGATCACATACACTGACACAGAAATGAAGCATGGAATGGATTCGATTAAACACAAGAACATGAGTACATTCATTATCCTTCCCACAATTTTGTGTCTCACCTGGTCTTGTCTCACTGATCAGGGGTCTGAGTTTCTTAATCAGGCCAGTTTGGTGCTTCAGCTCTGAATGCAGACGCGTGACCTCACAGCACAGAGCGTTGTACGTCTGCTGCATGCTCCTCTCCCTGCAGACAAACAGCACATTTCAGTCCCACCACTCTCCTGTTTGACAGACAGGAGACATGTTTTCTGCTACTTTTTTATTTTATTCTCGCCTGAGCAGAAAAAGCACTACTTCAATTAGCTCTTAGGAATATCTTGATAAAAGGTCCAGGACATAGAATTGCAAAAGCCCAATCTACTTACTAAACTGGTTCCAGAGGCCTGCCGCTGGAAGTGAATTGCTTTTTTTTGTGCTACATGTACTGTACTTCTGCTCACAACCTTCTCCTATGGCGACACTTTTGACGCTGTCACTGACAGCATAGGTTCACATTTGCTGGCTGTATCTCAGAGCATCTCAGAGAGAAAACGGCACCGATGCTGCGAAGTGAACCGATGGGTTTAATGCAAACCGATCCAGCTGCATTACATGTCTTAAAAACTAAGAAACAAGTTATTTCTGACCGATAACAATTGAAACTGACACCTACCTTGGATAGAAACAAACCTGGAGGGAAAAAGAGGCTTTTTTGCTTCTAAAAACTAAAACATCAATGGTTTTCTTAAAAAACAAAAAAAGAGTAAAATCATTTTTCTGAATGTACTCATCTGAACATGGCACAGGATCTCCAAACAGTATTTGTTAAGTTCTATATTCTTTGTGATATTCCAACTGGCACTGATGTGTGGCTTTGTTTCTTTTGGGGCTGTTAACAGACTGCTGTTGCACTGAGCAGCAACCTCCTCTAGTGGTCAAAAAGCACAAGTACAGTTTGCTGAACACCGGGAAAGCCTGCATGCAGGGGTGAGTAACACCAAGCTTTTCTTATGATCTGTTGTTGTTTTTAACATCTTTTAAAGGACTTTTCTGGTGTTTTTCATTTTGTATGCTTTATATTTTCCATGTCACATTACTATTAACAGTTAATCTGAGTGTGTTATGTATGCAATTTGTAAAACAGTGCTGTTGTGGCAGGACAGTCAAACATTTTATATTTAGTTACTGAAGAGCAGATTTGTTCAAGTAGAGATCACAGACAGTCCTACAGATGCCTTAAGAGCTACTGTTTACTCATCACAAAATGTGGCTTCACTATGCTAAAATCACAGTAAACCCACAGACAAACAGCCTTTAGCTCAAACAACTGGAAGCAAATGTGAGCAACTGCAAATGTTAACATGGGAGAAGAGAAGTTTCAGTGACTGCTGAATCTTCTCTCATTCATTTCAATCAGAGGCTTAGAAAAATTGACTCTTCAAGGTTCTGCTGTTGGCTCTGTTGTGTATTGTATTGTTTATTTATCTATTAACGTAACTTGTTTGAGGTCACTCATTATATCTGTGCAGATGAATGACTGCTGCCTCTAAATGCTTAAAAAAGCACCGGGTGGCCGATTCAAACACATTAATACACAGAAGAATGTATCTGTGTCGATTTACATGCATAGTCCGCATCATTCTAAGTGTTTTATTTGATCAGTTTTCACAATAGAAAAACTAGCCGTTTGGTGTTTTTTCTGCGACTACTGTTTTGGTTTTTGAATTGTAAATTATTGTTAGATACCAACGTGTTAGTTGCCCTTCAGTAATATTCATAAAACACTATACCTTGCATTAAACTTTGCATCACCGGTCTGGTCCATGTCTGGTCCGTTAAGGCCATGGGGTTCCTCCTAAAACAGAGTTAAGTTATGCAAAACAGAGAGCGGGGGGTTGCTTTCTGAACTTCTTTTTAAGTGCTGTATTTCCATGGCTGTTAAAAATGTTGCAGAACTTTGTGTGGTCGATTGCAAAGTCAAAATCGTTCTCCCTCTGTCTGCGTTTCAGAGATGACATTTTCTCTGACCTCCCTCTTCCCTCTGCCCAAACACTCCTCTACACTTTGTCTCCTTGTGTGATATCATATCTGTCCTGCGATTTGTGGCTTTTGAGTTCTTGGTCTTTCCATTTGGTCATTCAGTCCGCCCTCCATTCTTCATTTGATTTTTTCTCTGAGATCATTTGTTCCTACTGTTCACTTACCAAGCTTTTCTCCAGCAGCCGGCTGTTCTCCAGTGTAACCTTCTCTAGCTCCTCCTGCAGTTTGTGGATCTGAAGTTCAGTGTTGATCCTCTCCACCTGCCAGTAGTCCTGAGGGCTGTTCAGGCTCTTCATCACTGGACACACAATCACAGACACACAAAATGCAGTTCAATTAGGATATTAGTAGACAAGTGTTGCTTTTAATAATGTTAAAAACAAAACTGCTGCATTTCTGTCATTCCTTAACTGACGGAGATTCTAATACTTGGTATTCCCTCCAGTTGTGAGGCAGAGCAGGAAGCCGGTCTGTGTGATATACCTGTACCTTGGCTGGTCTCCATCTCTGTCCTCAGCTGAAGCAGCTCCAACTCTTTGGCTTGGAGCTGCTCCGTCAGCAATCTCTCACTCTCACTCTTCTCCTTTTTCTGACAAATGAAGTGGACGGGGAGGATGAGGAACAAGAAGGGAGAGTGTAAGCATTCAAACCAAATATCTCCCTGTCAGGTTATTGTTTTGTTAAAAAAAAAGATATATAGAAATATATTCTGTGTTTTTATGGTTTTGAATAACATATGAGAAACTAGTAAAACATAAAAAAGGGGAAAAACTCATAATCCATCATTTTAAAAACAAGCAATCGTTGTCATTGTTATGCTTGGATATGGTGACGGTTATTATTTTTGGAACTGAGGTTGAGATGGCCAGTTATCAGTTTAAATCTGGTCAAAGTGAGTGAAAGGTATGCAATGTCCTGGTGAGCAACTTTATCTATGTAGATAATCTTTTTGCGTCTAGTCTCTGTGGTGCTGCCTTCCTGAACGTCCTGTGCCGTGTATGTATTGGACCATAGTATTAATTACAAGGCTACATACAGTATTAGCATGTCTGACATTGACTGAGTTTACTTTGTTTGATAATTATCTTTGCATTGAATATCTTTGAAACGCAGTGAGGTATGATCTATGCACTAAGACACTCTCTTACAGGAAGTCTTAGCAAAGCATTTGTTGGAGAGAGCTGTACATATTTTAACATATGTTTGTGTGTTTTCTCTCAATTTCCTATAACTTCTGTCTGTTGTGAAGTTAGAATTTAATTTGGCCGGACAAGAAAACGCACCAGTTTGTTGAGCTCTATCTGCAGGTCCTCCTTCTCTATGTAAATTCCTCTATAAGCACTGAATGCCTTGTTCACATAATGGGGACCCTCTGATGGGGGAGCCTCTGGCCTGAAGAGCTACAGGGAAGAAAGAGAGCATCCGGAAAAGATGTGATTAATCGAAGTTCATTTAGAAAGTGAGAATAGAGTCACTTTACAGTCATGACGTATTTTCTTGCTGGACCAACAGTTGTAACAGATAAAAAACGAGAAACTGCAAATATGTTCTATCTATTCCCCATTTCCTAGAACACTCCATCTGTGCTAAATCCTCCCTCTAACAAATGTCTTTCTTTGGATTTCACAATTTTTTTTAATGCACTTTCAAAAACCCTTATCAGTTGCCTAATTCTGACAGTGGGGGTTCATTTCAGAAATGTTATTTCACGTTTACTCTGAGACTGACGATGCTGACATGGAGACAGTCACACAGGGGAAAAAAATTGTGTCTGATTTTTGAATATTTCTAATGTTCTGTAAAAGATAAAAAAACTCTTTATCTTTTTTTTCACGGTAGAGTGTTTCCAAACTTCCTTTATCTCTCTTCCTGTTTGTAATCAACTTAAACTGACGTTTGTACTTAATTAGCCTCAATCATCTCATTCTTTCTGACAACCCCCCCTTTCTCCCCATACCTTGTCCTCTAGCTGCTTCACCCTCTTCCTCAGCAAGGTATTCTCTCGCTCTGTGTCTCTCAGCCTCTTCTTGATGTCCTCGTAGGCTGTGACCAGAGCGAAGTGGGAGGCTACAGATTCATCACCGGCGCACACAGATACAGGGCTCTCACCAGCAACTGTATAGGCCGTCTCATGTTTGAGGATACAAATGTCATCATCTGCTGTCAGGGGCTCCATGCCTACACGGGCCTAATCTGGACGAGAGGGCACCTACAGGTTAGAAGAGGAGTTTTGATGAATTTTCTAGGGTTATAAACATCCTTTTGTTTAAAAAAAAATTGCATACTACCTTTCGCAGTAATAGATAAGAGATTCTTAATATCTTGTTATTGAATACCCAATATACTATAACTTTGTTCTGTGTGGTTTTGACCCACTTAAGGAGGTGGTTATAAAACTATGCAAACTATTAATAAATATATATATATATTGTATGTATTATAGTCTATTTCACCTGAATGATTAATTAATTCTAAATATGTGCAGCTGTTTGTCTAGGACAAATCCATCAAATATTTTTAAAGGTCCAAGTACCCTTTAAGAGATCTGCCTTCAGTTAGATGATGGGTTACACACAAAAATGTCATTGTTGTTTATAGATTCAATTTAATTATTCACAGACATGATTTAAAAAATATTTTGTCAATCTGATGCAGACAAAAGCCCACACCCTCCCTGGACATGTTCTGTTTAGAGTAGCAGGGCAGCACAGAGCGCTGCACTAATGCTTCTCGATGATGTCAGCATGGAATGATGCAGCAAACATAAAGGGGGCAAGTTTCATGTTGTAGACCCAACCATTTGTGGATATAAGTTTAATAATAGATAATAAATTAACACGATGTTTGAGCAACTCTGAGAAATCGTGAAAAGAAAAGAACGCACATAAAGCTGCGGACTCGATTTGTACTTCCAGTTAAGATATCAAAAGCCACCCCAAGAAATGAAAACGAAAGTCAAAGACTACACGCGATAAAGTGCGACGTTAGACTTCCTTTGCTGGGACGACTGAACTAAAGGGCCAACCCGATATGAAAAATAGGGAATTTTAAACCCCAGAGACAAAACAAAAAGAAACTGTCGTGATGTAAACAATCAATGAATCTCGTTTGTAAACGATGCTAATATTATGTTAGCTTCAGTGGTCATTGAGAGCGGTTAAAAAGAACACCGAGACAGTGCTAGTTTGGGCAGCAGAATGACAGACGGTAAGCATCACAACCACTGGATGACGAACCATTGAAAAAACTGACATACATCTCTGGCAAAGGTGATCGAAATTATCGATCTTTTCTGAATATAAAAGCTAGCTAAGCTTGGCTAGCTTCTTCAGGCTAGGTGACGGAAAAATAGTCTGTTATCTGCACTCTAGAATTTTACCAACCGTGTTAGATATTGTCTTCAATTCAGCTTCAAATGGCCACTTGGGTTAACCATTTATACTCCAAAATATAATACGTGTTTCCAAGAGGAAAACAAAGAGACAGAGCTGACACTCACAGTGACTCCGAACTGACAGGTGAGAAAACAAAAACTTCCGGGAGTCATTTGATTGCTGAAACCCCTTCAACGTAAAAGCGCTGTGTCTCGTGAAAGGAAGCTCGAGTGGAGACATAATATAATTTTGATTATCTATATTACTAAAATATATATCTAAGCTCTTCCTTTCTCAAAGGTAATGTATATTGAGCATAACGGCAATTTCGCTCGAGGAACTTGGTTGTGTTTTCAACATAGATGTGCCATGAAAGTGGGACTTTCCTTTCTGCTGACCAGCTAGAGTTAATTAAGTTTGAGGAGCGGAAATAGAAAGAACTATTTCCAGTAAACTTCAACTTAAAAGCGTGATGAAAAAAAAACCCCCAAAAACTTCGGATCAGGTGAAAACTCGAGCTGATCGCCTTTAACTTCCAATATATTTAAATACAGGCGGTGGTAAGTTGAATTCTGCCATATAACTAAAATGAATGATTTTAACAAATAAAAAATTATATATGGTGCTTTAGGGTTTAGAAGACCTTGGGATATTTAAATTGGTTAGCTAACTGCTACATGCGATTAATCTTAACACATTTGCTATATATATAAATATTTGAATCTATGTATATTTGTTTGTCAGCTCACAGGCAAAGACAAGGCCTGAAAATATTCTACCCAGATATTTAAACGGTAATGAACCTTTATGAGACCGACGTTAGCTTAAATGACAGATCATTTATTACTTTTATTCTTAAAGAAATCTCCAAGAAGTAGAGCTAAAGTTACATTTTCACTAAACCGGGTAATATTTCTTAAAAGATGTCCAGATTGGAAGGGTAAAGCTTTTCATATTTATGTTTATGAATCTTTTGATTAAAGACTACAGTAATATGATTGTAGAAGGGAGGCTTTCTTTTCCTTACGCTATTTTTGAATGTTTCTGGTCAGATCTGATATTTTTGCCAGGGATTAAGCAGTAACGATAATGGATAGATGGATGATTGGTCTGTTGATGTTTTATTTTCTTTCTATGATTTTTATTTCTTACAGGCCAAAAGTTGCCTCTGTCCCCCTCTCTCTTGTATGTGGTTTTGTTGCAAAAATAATCTGTGTTCTAAACTATCAACAAATCTGAAACTCAAGAAATGGGTACAGATTAAGAAAATGTTTGCAGATGATAAATGTACACTGTTTGCGATCACAAAAACATTAACTGACTATTAAAAAAAGCCAGAGAAGGTAGGGCTGCAGACTATGTCAAGGGGATTCATGAAAGCCTCTTTTATCTGGGTAATTATCTTTTTTTAAACTTTTCATAGAGTGTATTATGTTGTAATTTGCACAATTTGTTTTTTAAATTTGTATACAAAATAATTAATCATACAAATAATTTTGAGATGATAATTAATTCAGTGTGCACTTAACTCTAATAAATCCTAATAGTCATGAGAAATGAAAGCAACACAGTCATTTTGTGCGAAGAGATACAAGTATTTTACTCAAACTTTATGGGCATGCTGATGAATGAATAATGTCACCAGTGAGCAGTGGTCGTCGGAGTCAGGGTATAAAAGTGTTTCCCTTTGCTTCAAAATCAATGTATTTAGGTAATGTAGAGTTTTAGAAATAACAGCTAAATTACAATACAGTATGTTATGCTATGAAACATCCATCCATCCATTTTCCAAAAATAGTATTGTTTGTACTAAACCTTGCTGTTCCTTTGTTTTGTTTTGATGGAGATTTTGATGATAATGCCTTGCTCTTAAAGGATCCCCAGAATGACATGTGAAGAGGAGCCAGAGATCTGCACCTTGAGGGCTCGACAGTGTAAGCTCAGCTGCTGCCAACATAGGAACACATGTTTTCTAAGCACTTCCCTGGGACTGACATTTAATTTAAATGGTGATTTATGCTGTAGCATTTCAATTTAACTACACAGGTGGCACAGGCAGCTTTTCACCACAATGTGAAGCTTTATGTTTGTTCCTTTGCAAAGCAGTTCACAGCTCTGAAATGGTCTTGAGCTGTCATTGGCCTCTCATTGCATTGTTACTGAGCAGTTTCTTATGTCTGATAAATAGCTGAATTGTGAAAGCTTCTACGGGTTTTCTGTGTTGTCATTGCAGTGTTGTCTGAGGCTCAGTTGCTAATGAGAGACATAGAGAAGATGCTTGGCCGGTTTCCTACGAAAGACACCTCCAAGATAAAATCGTGTGGAAAGGTATGTTTACTTTCTGGATAGCAAATAGTCAGACAAACCTCAGAGAAACATACGACTGCTGCAGATGTTAGTTAACTCTTTACAGTAATTAAGTATTTTAGCTTTTTGCGTGTCTATCATTTCATCAAGACTCTTGTTTTGTTTTTGTTGTTTGTCCTTCTTCATCACCTTCTGGACATGCAGTTTCATGGCACATAATAGAGAAGATATGATTATTACATATGTTCCACAGTGGGGTCAGGAGTGTTCAGGTTATGCAAGTTCCCTTTGGTTGCATAGCAACACTGTTTTCATTTTGCAATTTGAGCTGCAAAAGTACTGTGAATCTATAAACTGAATTGTCGTTACCATAAGTTATAAATGACATGATCGCTGCCTAATGTTGCTACAGTTTAATAGCCGCTGACCACTCTTGGCTAAGCCTCTCAGCAGATTTTACATGCTCTTCCTTCAAAGAAATTAAGAGTTACAGAGTTACAGGGTACAAAATCAAACGATTGAACTGATTGAATGAATCAATGAATGGAATTATTCTGTTTTTTGGGGGGTGGGAGTTGAATCAGAAAAAATATCTGTTTGCTTTAGAGATCACTTTACAGCATTTTTTAATGGGCACCGTTCTGAGATATGGGCTGTTTGTTTTGTCAGTCGGTATATTTACCACATCCTGGACAGCTTAGTTTTCAGTTTAATTTGTTCCTTTCTGTCTATAATTAGATTCTGGCTGTGTCCCATGTGTCCAACCTGACTTTCAGGGTTTCAGTCTCACACCACAATTTGAGACACGGGCGCTGGATTGGCAACACAGCCAGTAAATGCCAACATGTATATGTATTATTTAACTTCTACATTTTTATGTTGGTAGAATGTATATATGACACAGGGTGCATGCTTGTATTGGTCATTTGAAATGGAAATAGACATACAGATGAGCTCGTTAGCATTTGATGATTGAGATTGTGTGTGTTGTTGCTGTTGTGACAGATTCCAGAGGAGTCTCAGGCCAGCACAGAGGAAGAGGGGGAGATTTTGATCATTGATGGCTTCAGTTTTGAGAGCGCAGCAAGCAGAGAGGGTCTGTGGAGGCTGAGCTCACAGGTGGGAGCGGGATCTCGGCGCAGCGGCACATAACTGATGTTTAAGAGAGCGGGTTCACTGCACAAGGCCATCAGGGTCAGATGAGTGGGAAAGGTAACAATGAACCACAAACAACCAGGAAGTGACACGTGAATAGAAGTAATGTTTCCATCTGTCATTCCATCTGTGTCTCCTTACAAAATGTTTTCAGCCTACTCTTAAGTACCAGAGAAGTTACTTGCTAATTTCAAATTGTTTTTATCTTTGACACATTTAGCTTATCTTAGGAAAAATGATTGCAAATGTAATGTCACATTAGTGCAAGTTTAACTTTGTGTGCTGTCGTATTGATTCTTCTTTATTTAAGATGGACTATTGCATTTAGCAGTTTGTTGTTTAGTCGTAAAACTATAGGTCTTCATTGTTATTTTTTTGTTGATCTATAACCTCAGATCGCACACTGTGCAGTGTGATTAAAAGAATAGCACATCTTCCATTGTGATGGTGTTCATTCACCATTTTCCTTTCTACAGCAACACCATGCAGTGGAGTTTAGGTTTATGGTGCTCTCTTTGGTAGCATTTTGTCTTTAGATCATTTTCTCCGATGGCCTACTTTCTTGTTCGGTTGGCTTGACAAAGAAACAAAAAACAAACCCCAAACAAATGTTTTCATAAGAAGGGTGTCACTGTTGTAAGGGAAGTTGTTAAATTGACCTCTGTTGCACTACTTCTTGGTAGTTCTATTATATTCTTACAATGTCTTTACTCGTTTGGCTAATGTGAAAGAAGAATTTTGTATTACAAACCTATTGTTGCTTTCATTGTGTATATTGTAATATTGTAAAAGTGGTGTATAAACTCCAAAGGGGGAAATGCTCCATTGGATTTTTCCTTTTTTTTAAAACGACTGTCTGCCACAGTTCATTGTCTTATTGTTGTAAATCTTAGTAAATCTTAAGGTTGCTCATAGGTTTCTGCATGTCCTTGACATCTTTTCATTTACAAAGATCCAGTATAGTGTCATTCACAACATGCCCGTTATCCCATGTATCATCAAATGTTCAGAGACACTTCTGTGCAGCTCTTCACGTATCAGAGTTGCAGTATTACAACGCAGTTTGATGAAAACATGCATGAACAGCGCCGTTGATTTAACAGGGGGTGACCTCTGAATAAAAATAAAAGCAATTGAGAATTTTGGTAAAAAATAAACGGAAATTGTCTCCACTATAAATTGCCTGGTGTTAAGTTTGAAAGTAGGTTAGGTAGACTATTTGGTTCTGAAATGAACTGTCAGGCCATCATTGTAACCAATTAACAAACTCCCAATAAGAATGTCAGAGGAATGATTAAAACCAGAGCTTACCAAGCATTAACATACTAAACAGACTGACTTAATATATGCAAATAAATCTATTATTATGCAAGTGCTTGTTCAGGGACTAAATTAGGTGCTTGTTTGGAGCACTAAGGATATGTTTGCAAGCGTGATCTCAATGACAACATATTACAGAAATAACGGTCACTTGAAAAATCTAATTAGTTTTCCATTAGGCTATAAGGATTATAGTCAGTGGCAGAGGCAAAGACAACTCTAAAGTAGTTTAGTAACCATTCAAAGTTATGGAGACAAATTCCCTGTCTATTTATTGGAAGTGAGTAAATTATTCAATTTTGCGACTTGTTTGGACACATAATATGGAGACACACAGTCACAGTAGGCACACTAATAAGTAGC